CCAGGGAGGGCTGCAGCTCCAGACCCTGACAGGAAAGCAGCCTGGTCACCTCCAAGATACCTGGTGCTCACCTGGCTTTACAAATGGCTATGTAAGATGTAAGCATTTAGTTGGTTCCAAATTTTGAATAGGAGAATTTACATTTCCAGAGTATCTGGAGCCTGAAAGCAAAGAGTCTAGAAAAGTAACCCGTGGTGTGGCCAAGGCCGACCACAAGTGTCACAGTGCCTGTTAGGAAGGACGTTGCCAAATCTGTGCAGTCTGTCTGTCGGCATTTTGATTGTTTTATCATTGTCACGGGCAGTTTGTCATCATGAGTTTTTTTCTGAGGCACAGGCCTGTTATGAAATGGTTATATAATGTCCAAGGGTGGGTATCTGCTGACATTTGAAAACTATGCAGTGAGAAGTATGGTGGTGAAAAATGAGAGGTATGTCTTTAACACGTGTTGACTGTAAGGCAGGAGACAGATTGTGGAAAAGTTATTTCAATCTTTCTTAAGAATAGCCTAAGTTTTTAAGAAACCACATCATAGATGTGCAGGATATGTACTGGAAAACCTATCTAATGTATTTGTTTTCATTTTCACAAAAATTAATGTTTAGCATTACCCATTGTAGGCATGCAAAAACACATAATTTGCAAACTAATGCGATGTTAAATACTACTTTCAATTTATTTTCCTTATGTTTTGTGCCATTAAAAAATATGCTTTCTAGACTTACTCCACAGTTGAAAGTACTCAAAAACACTTAAAATACTGAAAGTATGAAAATACTGACGTATTGAAAATTTTCTTGTGAAAGATTGAAATGTTATTCTCCAAAAAGTTAAATGCTTTTGGTTCATTCTTAGAGTAGGTAGAACCCAGTTTGAAAAAGTATCATGTAGTTTTGTTTATGTGTACGATAGAATTTAACTTCTTCAGACTGATTTTCCTCAAAGGAGGAAAATAATACCTTCCTCCCCTCCCCCATATTAAAATAAGCTTATTTGGTAGTGGTTGCAAGTAACTTCCTTGCTTAGAAAGCTGATTAGCTGAAAGCATGAGATTACTAATGATTAAATTCCAACCGGTTATGTTTGCTACGATGATGTAGTACTCTGTCTCAATAACAAGGGAGGAACTGCAGAATAAGTCACTTTTGGTTTTTTTTCACACGTGGTTGAGGTAAATTAAAAAAATACATACCTACCTTCTGATCTTTACTTCTGAACAAGTTGTTTATATTTCTAACATAAAATTTGTATTTAAATATAAAACGTAATGCATTCAAAAGCTGTGAGAACATATGCTAGAGAAATTAGTGCTGTTTTGTTTGGTTGTTAAAAAACAACCCACTTTTCAATTGACACGAGAAGAGACTTTTCGCAGTATAAACCAGTACATCACAGGGCTTCTCTTAGCAGGAAGTGGAAGAGAGCAGTGGTTAGCAAACGCTGCCGGCAGGAAGCTTGACACATGCACAGCTCCTGGTGGTGCTGGCTTGTCCAGCTCGCCGTAGATGTTTTCTCTTTTGCTTTGGTACAAGTCCCTGGGGTGTGTAGATGGCAGCGCACAGGGAGGTACCTTGTAACCAGTGCACGGCAACAGCCACGGCGTTGCAGAGACTGGAAGGTTTTGCTAACCGCCTCTTCCATAGGCACTCCAAGAATGGTGCCCAGGAGCAGAAAGGGCCTCAGGAAAGTGAGAGCCAACGGTGCTCTGAATTCACTGCCCGGTGGGATGAATCGAGTAAGTAGTGGGGGGTTGGTTGTTTTGAGAGATGTTTGCAGTTCAGTTTGCCTCCTAAGTGAAGAGCTTGTATGTTTGCAATCGGGTCTGAACACTGCCGTGGGATACGTTCCGGGGGCAGTTTTACAATTGTCACCTACAGGTATTGGTGTGAAGAACAGCACATTGCATCGGGCAGGGGGTGATGGGGCTGGTTCATGGACTGGGGGCTGGCAGGAGAATTTATCCCTTATTCCTTCTTCTCTTTCAAACCATAGTTGACTTGTTTTGGCAAGCCCCCACCCCAGTTCTTACTTCTGAAGTACTTCCTTTATTTTCAAATTAAATCAGCAAGTTTAGCAGAAATGGAAAACCCTAACTAAAGGCTGTAATGTTTAAACTTTCAAATGGGTAGATACTGCTGCACAGTTTAAACTTCTAATTGTAGGGGCTTTCATCATTCATAGTTCTATTTTAAGGGATATATACATTAGAAATGCTATATAGTGTAAACAGTATATCATTCTGTTTGATTTTAACTATTACGTATTAACTTAGTGTGGGAATGCTGGTTATCATTAGCGTTAATTTCTTAATTAGCAAAGAGTTTACAGTATTTGTATGGTTAAAAAACTTTCATGGTTGCATATTGGGTAATAAGAAAGATTCCAAAAAAATCCCAATCTAAACAAATTGACATTTGATTTTCTTATTTTTTAATAATTTTTAAATTTTAAAGCCATGCAGTGTTCTGCAAAGCAATTCTTGTGTCTGGTTAAATGCTCATTTAAAAATGCTACAATATGGTAATTTATGATAATTTTGTTCCAAATTTCAGATTCATTGATGGGTTTGAGATAGCACAATTACTTCAGCTGAAGATAGGCTGTGTTGGAAATGCTTAGCATTACAGTGTTACCATGAAGAAAACCAGTGTTTATACATCTTGCTTGCAACTTAAAATATTGTATGAGTAGGGAGTGAATCTGTTCTCAGAGGATAAGCAGTAAACATGGAAACAAAAAGGTGTTAATGCATTGACCTAAAATAGATTGAATCTAGGTCTCCCAAATGAGATAGAGAAGAATTGACTCGTTTTGTTGGGAATATAAATGATGAAAGTGCATAAATTCTGAGCTTCCACTCAAAATACTTTCAGCTTGGTAAAAATAGGCACATACTTGTGTTTATGTAGAAGCTCTTTTTTATGTAAATAACTGTTTGAAAAAATAACACTGAAGCATTTCTGTTTATGTAACATGAAGAAAAAAATGGTATTGACCTACTGACACTTACAAATTGTGACCTGTTTGTGTACAAGTCTGTACTTTTTTCCCCTCTGTTTGAGGCAGGCTTCCTCATGTGACATGTTTAATGAGGAAATGGACCGCCGTGTCTCTTGATAAATGTGGTGAAAATGGCTGTTCTCTGAATGCTATTTTAAGTCATAATTAAGCAGAGTGGTTGCATGCAGTTTTCTGAGCTGAAGTTGCTGAGCTGGTAGCTGAATAGTGGGTGTTTATGCAGCTTTGGGTTTGGGGTGAAGTTCTGAATCTTTATCCTGAAACTTTACTTTCAATTTCTAAATTATTTAAAAAAAAATAATAATTTAAATTACTGTAGGTGCCCATGAACTAAGTCCATGGAGGGATGACAAACTGCTGGAGGGATAGAGAAAATAAGGAGTACAGGGGAGGGAGTACTTCTCTCTACTCCTGACTCCTAATTAGGTCTTCAGAAAAATACATCTTCCGTGATAATTCTTTGTGAAACATAAAAGAGAAACAAGGTGTTTGGGGGTTTTTCGTTTGATTGTTTGGAGGTTGTTTTATTTGTTTGTGGGTTTTTTAATACCCAAGAGTTCAATGTCATAGAATTGCTTAGCATCACTGAATTCAGGTTGTAGATTAATTTCACAGAAAGTTTAATGAATAAGCAGTGTTTTAGAAACATACTGGTGTTTATCTTATAAGGATATTTAAATATTCTCATCTATTTTGCCCATATCACTGCAACTTAGCAATGTTAATGTAAGGCTTTAGGTTAATGTACATGGCAGACAGCATGAATTATTCTCGAAGTTCAAGGCAAAAGCACTCTTAATTCCTGAAAAAAGTTTTGACAATAACTTCTCAACATTTTTGTTATTTTAGGCTTCAGGTAGAATCCATTTGAAAAGGAAGTTAATATACTTATACCATCTGCTGTAATGAAATGCAGTAACAGGTCTGTTTCTGTGTATATTCTTTTACAAGCAATTTCTGCTGAAGCTCTGGGTTTGCTGGAGGGGAAGGAGCTGCTGCTTGCTGGGTGGACTTTGTGTTGTCAGTCGCCTAGTGTTGTGGGTTTAAATAAATTGCCTTGTGGTCTATGACCTTAAGGGTTTTTCAGTGGTTGATTTTGAAATTTGCCATCATTACTTTTTTATTTTGATATATCAAGTGCAGTTTCTCCAGTGTGCCTTGGATTCTTGGTCGATGCGTGAAATGAATGTGTTTTGTAAAATCCTCCAAGTCCAGCAGGGCAGAGGTGACTCAGGGCACCATGGGCCTTGGAGTCTGTTTCCAAAAGCTGCCTGAGCACACGTGTGATTGCACAGCCTGGGCTGGTAACCAGGTCAGCTGTGCTGCACAGCCCTAGGGTGACAGGGACATGATGGCAGCAATCAGAGCGATGCATTTCATTCTTCGTGTAGATGTCTTGACTGTGACCACTTGCAACTATATGGAACCTGCATTTTGATTTTTGTTTTGTTTTCTTAGTTGCTTGTTGTTCTTTGAAAGATTGAAGTGGGAGAGCAAAGGAAAATGAGGCTGCTTGGTTTTGAACATAGAGCCAGTAAGATGAGCATGAATCTTTTATTCTTGAAATGATACAAGTATTTTCCAAGTCTGCATAAGAGAACACATTAACAACTTGGATAACTGAAATGGTCAGGAGAGTCAACACTAGTCCATCTGTCATCTTCATAGTCTCTAAATTGAAAATGGATGGATAATGAACATTATTTGGTCTCCGGTTCAAAATAATAGCAGTATATTTCCAAATACTGTGGAATGATGTGTAGAGGTTTAACTGAATAATTACTATATATATGAGTGTGTGTGAAGAGAGAAAAATGCATGTAAAATATGAAATAATGTACAGAGCACACTGTATGAATTGCTTAAAGCTTTAGAATAACTACTAGTTGGGTACAAGTCAACAGATAATTCTGGTCTAAGGTTGCCATGGAAACAACCAGTGCTTGATATAATTGAGAACATCTTAAACCCTCCTGGTGTTTGCATGCTTTTTTCCCCTGCCATTTTGAGTTGCTTTAGACATGAATAGGTAGCATTGGTCAGAACAGTAGTAGTGAATGAGCAAATCCAAATCCCGTGTCCTGAATATTGATTTTGATAGTCTACTGGTATCTTGTGCTTTGTAGTTTTTTGCATCACAAGGAGCTCATAAGGAAGAGCAGCTCTCTGGATTCTCTGTGCTCTCTCTTTCTAGTTAGTGTGTAAGTGTGTTTGGAGATTGAAGCACTGATTTTGTAGAGATTAGCGTACTTCATCAACTGTTGGATTAATATTAGGAGCAATATGTTTCAGACAACTAGCTTTTCAGCATGAATGGTAAGTCTTTTTTATACCCTTTGACAGTGTTTTTTTGTTCTGTCTTCACAATCAGGAAAAATCTACCAGGTTTCCCTTTCTTGTCTGCATAGCTGCATCGACTGCTGATTTCTTTGTTTTTGTAATCGACTCACTGGGGGTTTCTATTTAAAATTGGTGGTCCTCAAGATTTGCAATTTTTTATTCAATTGTTTGCTTTGCATAACTGGCATTTAGTGCTTTATTTTAAAGCTTTCTTTTAGAAATAACTGTTACAAATCATTAAGGCACAGAATCTGATTTGAAAAATTTTATAATTGAATATATACATGTCGGTTCACTTAATTTTCTGTGCCACTCATAATAAATTATTTTATTTTAATTAATACAAATCAGAAGGGCCTTCTGAAATAATTGTAGTCGATACCTAAAAATTCTAAACAGGTATTTGTTGTTTTTCATCTGAATCAGCTTATTCTTCTATGATTTTTAGTCTTCTAAATGCTGGGATAGCAGAATAGTTGAGGTCATTCGTGGAGGTAGGGGAGGGCAGTCTCATTTGAAATGAGATACTAGAATAGGTCTAGTAAACTTATTAGACAGGTATTTACTTTCCGAAACGACTGTGACTACTTGTTATAAGATACTTTGAATATAATGGAATTATGAAGTACTATATTCTTATTTGGAATATTATTGAAAGTTGGTTTTAAATATATGACCTCTGTATGTTTGTTTCCGTAGAAAAAGATATCCTTTGAAAATTATTTGCAAAAAGCCCAAATATGTTAGCTTTCTAATTGATGCCTTTGTGTTTTAAACAGATAGTCTGGAGCGTTAGAAAATGACTTGAGGCAGGGATTTCTTGAAAAGAAAGAACAGTCAGTCATGTGTATGGGGTCTGTCTGTGTGTGTCTGTGTGGTTTTGCTTTATCCCACAAATTTAAAGGACCATTTCTACAAAGGTTTCACTTGTGTACATGGCATGACATAAAGAGTGGGAGGAGTTATCCCACTGCCTTATCTAATATCAGCTTGTCTATACTTATCTCATACAAATGTGTTGAGGTCATCTTCCCCAGAATGGAAAGTGTGGCTGTCATTTCCTTGCTGTGCAAAGTTCAAAATACAAATGTCAAAGCAGGTACAGTTATTAAGAGGGTGTTTCAGTACTTTGTACATACACCATGGAAATTTGTGGTACAGCATCACTGATGGCTGGTTAAGTAAACGTGAATGCAGGCTGTCCTGGAAGTGGTGTCCCAGGCTCTGGGGATGCTGGTGGGGAGTTGGTGTGGCCACGCAGGTCCACAGCTGGCCTGCACTTGCCCTGTAGGGACACGATGGCATCCCAGCATCCCTGCCACCACCTGCCGCTGCTCAGCCTCTGTGGGGAGCAGGAGTGAACCTACAGCCTGCCTCCTCCGTGTCACAGGCCACCATCCTCTGCTGGTGGAGAGAGCTCTCCTCAGGGCAGAAAGTCTCTGCTTCTCACCAGTTACCAGGCTGGGCTTTCCATCATGTTTTCCTCTGTTACCCTTACAGTTAGGTTGTAGTTTCCATAGGAATTAAAGTTTGTGGAAATCAGGTGGTGATGGTTGGTTTAGGGTTGGTTCTTTTTTTTTTATTTTTATTTTCCCTGGGGGGTTATTCTGCAACTTGCATCTGTAGATTTCATTCATCTTGACATCTAGGCTCCCAATTCCATTAAAAAATAGAAATAAATAGCTGCAACTTTTACCAGGTATCAGTTCCCAGCCAGAATTATCTTTAAACTAGTCTAATTTTGATAAGGTTATCATCTTCTGCTCCATCAAAATTAAGTCTTTACTGTAAACATTTCCCTCTTTAAACCACTTGCGCTTTTCAATGCACTTTTGTGGCTGTCTTCACTGCAGTAGTGTTACATTACACCCTGTCAGCAGATAAAATCAGCTGCTTCCCTTGTGAAAGATGGCCAAGATGCAAGTGAAACCTCAATGAAAAAATGATAAATTTTCTTCCATTGGAAGTACAATTGGCTAATTTGTTTTTCTTTTCTAATTTCTTCCCCTTCCCCAGAAAAGCTGGTTATATGATTAGTTGTTTGGTTTTTTTCTAGAATGATTCGAAGAAAAAGCTGGTTTTCTATTTCTTTGGACTTGGGCTTTTGTTTTGAACAGCAGAACATTTTTGAACAGATAAAACTGGAAGGCCAAGTAACTTAACTAGCCCGGGCTCCCAGAGGTGAAAGGTGCTACTCTGCTAAATATTCTGTTTCACTAAGACCACGCTCAATACTCCCGAGAATCACCAAGTACAGGATTGGGCTACTGCCTTCCAGTACTGCCAGTAGGGTGATTGCTGATGCAGCCATTTGCACTCCCGAGACAGTGCTTGCCAGATGTGTGTGAGATAGATGGAGCAGCATGTGGAAAGGGTGTAAGCCGCACTGATTGACTGCTGAATTACTGTCCAGTTTTGTGCACTCGGGAGAACAGGAATGTTTAAGGAGTGAAGGGTGAAGGGAGGTAGCGTAAATATCTTAGTTACGTGCACTGGCAATGTTTTTAAGGGCAAGGGACAACAAGTAGCAGCTGATTATTCCCACTGTTGAGAAGACTATAGAAAATGGAAGGATGCCGTGGAATTTCCAGGTGCCAGAACTACACGTCTTCCTATATGTGTCTCACGGAACGCATGCTTTCTTCTTTTCAAAAATTCCGCAGTGTTACCTGTTAGGCTCTGACAGTGAATTAGGGCTGTTGGGTGCTAACTTGAGTTCATGTTTTGTTCTGGTTCTTGTACAAAATATTTGAAAAAGGCAACACAAGAGCTGTTGCACTGATGTAGTTCTTAAAACACATCCACACAGTGAACAGTCCCTCGAGGTGCTTGGTTGGGGTAGAAGCAAAAAATATTTAATGTAATTGACATTTCTTCCAAAGGAAAGGTTATTTGGTATGTTGTAATCTTGTACTGTGACTTACTCCAGTCCTCATTACATTACTTATGTGTATTTTGTTACCAGGAAGATTTTTTTTCTTTCCTTGGTTTTTAGTTTACATCTCAAATTGTTTATACGTTTGTTGCTGGTTCCTCTGAGAGTTGGCTGCTGCGACTGCTGTTGCAGGCCAAAGGTCACAAGCTTTAATGATTGAGATTCTGACCGGCAACTTCGTAACTTGCATAACGTTTTTGGTGTTTTTCTTTATTCATTCCTGTTGATAGATACCCCAGCCCATTAAGAATTCATGTGGTTTGGTTTCTTTATTTATTTTGTACGTTTTTCAGTTCAGTTCTCTGCAAGTTTTGCGCCTGCCTTTTTAGACAAATAAGTACTGACTTTAACCAGTTTCTCTCCCAACGACCCATTCTCTGTCAGAATGGATAGTAAAAACTCTTACCTACTTTTTGCCTGCCTTAATCCTGAGGCAAACAAAATCTTATTATTCACTTGATGTGTTGAATTGTGAAATGTGTTTATTTACGTAAGGCTTCCTTATCAGGAAGTCAGTCTCTGCTATTTAAGGGTATAAATGAACTTCTCCTGCTTGGCTAGTTACTGCAGGCAACCCTTTCCTGTAAATATTGGAAGTGTGTTCTGTGCGAGATATGTCAGTGCAGAGATGTGTCAGAAGCGCAGATCTGGTGAAGAGATGAAGAGCTGTTTTGCTGATTTACCCTGACAGCTGTGAAGACATGTCTTGCTGATCCCAGAGCATCTATATGAGAATTTGTGGAGGTTTTTAATGCAGGGGGCTGGCACAAGGTAGCTTCGTGAGAAGTGGACTTAACATCCATGTGAGTGCACATAGACCAAGATTGGTGCATCTGCTATTATTCTGATGCCTTGTGTGAAATACTTGAAAAAGAAAAAGCAACCCAAGAGTTGCTCTTCTCAAGTAACTTGTTAAATGCATCCCTGTAGTGAACAGTCCCTGCAGTTGTTTAGTTTGGAGTAAAAGGAATATGTTAGTTTAGTGAAACTTATAAAGGAAAGGGTATTTGTGCATGACTGCGTGTGGTATTATTGCCTGCTTGCAGGAAATTTCTTAGTTAATGTGCAGATCAGATGAACTGCCTGCACATTTATGCTTACTGTTGCTAATAATCTAGCCATAAAGCCTAGTCTCAGTGATAGCTGCCTGACAGTATGTTATCCTTTTTAGTCACTGAACTAGGCAATGTGGGGCAGTAATAGGGAGAGGAAAGTTGGTGCTGACCAGTTAGCCAGGTTCTTCATGCTGCAGAGGGGTCGAGGGCTTAACTGGAGGGAAACTGCAGCAGGTGCTGTAAAACATTTTGCTTAGTAAGTGCTTTTGACTGTAGGAGGAAAATCTGATTAATTTGTGTATTTCTATTGAATGCTAGAATTTACTAAAAACCTCTGTTCAAAAATGTGACACATTTACAAGATATTTTATAGTAGTGCCCTAGAAAATGTTGTTCTTGGAACTAATTCTTGAACTGTATTCTTTTTTTTCCCACATGGTAACCATGGAAATATATCACCTGCAGAAACAAAATATTTTGAATTTTCACAATTTTTGCCCAGTTTTCATTTTTCCTTATATTGTTAATATCTGTTATATTTCACACAAGCAGAACTCTATAGGTCCTGTGGTAGTTGCAGCGTTTTAGATTACTTGCTGGATAAAGTTCGGCAAGAACTGTAGAGGGTGGTACTGCACAGCTCAGCCTTAATTCCTAATTGTCTCCCCAGAGTGACCTCTGTTATATTGTATTTCTGGCATTAGCAGGATTCATTACCTCTGAACTAGTACTTTGGTATTTCAGAAAAGAATAAGGGAGAAAGACCAAACATTGGCTTTGGAAATAAAATGAATTTTATTGTTTCTATTAAACATAGAAGAAAGTCAGTCTGACTGTGGCAGTCATGTGCAGCAGAGTATCTACTGCTCAGAATTCAGCAAAGATTGGTGTTATCTCTGGTAGCTGAAAACCTGGCTCCTGTTCTGGTTTTTCTGAATCTGTCACATCTCTTGTGCAGGCTGTTGCTGTATAGCCAGCCAAGTAAA